CTTGAAGTTCGGTTTTTTGCGCAGGAGCATTTTGTAAAGATGACGGTGGCTGAGGTCTGTAGAACCCATGGATGGGGCTTGGCTGGAGAGGCAGACTGATGCTGCCATGCAAGACGTCGCGTCTCTTGAATGCCGTAGCCGTAGTCACCGCTACGCCAGCTTTCCCGAGCCGCTTTCACGCCGCTTCGCTTTGCTGCTTGACGGCCATTCAGCTATTGCTGACCTATTCGGCGCAGTTGTGGTTGTGTAACCTATCTGCATGCAACGCCAGCCGGCAGAAGCCATACTAGTAGGATTGGGTCCCTGCTCTCTCACACACAAACTGACGAGCCATGGTGCGCAAGAGATTGCGGAGCCTCCTGGTTTGCTTCCTCCTCTTCCTCATCATCTGGCTTTCAACTGGGGCCTCAAAGGCCTGGATATCCGGCTCAGTGCCAAAGGCCCGGCGGATGGCCCATTTGCAGGAGGAAAGCAGCCCGGGGACCATTTTTGTGTCGATAGCTGCATTTTTGGATCCCGAGCTGCCAGAGACGCTGAAAGCTATGCTGATGCATGCCGAACGGCCCGAGTTGCTGAACGTGGGGATCGTGTGGCAGGGTCTTGAGGACCCTCCCCTATCAGAAATTGAGCTGTCAGAGCTCCACGAACTTTGGCAGGTCCCTTTGGGAGAAGCTACACACTACGAAAACACTGCACTCGGCATGCTGCTGGACCAGAACATGAGCTTTCCGCACATGCCACACGGTGATGCAGTGAAGCGGGTTTCACTGGTGGGTGGTCACATCCGGCTACTCGATATCCAGGCAAAAGATGCGAGGGGCTGCCACTGGGCCAGGTACATTGCTCAGCTCTTGTGGGAAGGAGAGGACTTCTACTTGCAGCTGGACAGCCACATGCGTTTCACAAAGCCACTTATCTTGTTATTTTCAGTTCAGCCGTCTTCGTCTGCGGTATTCGTTGCAACTGAATGTAAGGCATTGGGACACACAAATGCGCGAGCAGCTCGCGCTTTGCTCCAAGAGATCGCCGAAGCCGGTTTTGAGCAACTACGGGCGGCCGTACTCTCTAAGCACCCCGGCCAGCTGGACTCCCAGCCCCGATCTCCTCTCGCCGAGTCACATCTGCGCCGGATATTTCGACGCCGATGGCATCCTCCGACACCCCTCGATCCCCCTCCGCTCTAATTGGTCCTTTCCCCGAAAGCACGTCTTTTGGAGTGGCCACTTCTCCTTCTCCTCCTCCAGGGTGCTGTTAGAGGTGCCCTTCGATCCCCATTTGCCAATGGCCCACTTTCCGGAAGAACCGCTGATAGCCGTGAGGCTCTTCACTCACGGATGGGATGTTTATTCACCCACTCAGGCTGGGTTCTTGTTCGGAATTTCAACTTCAGTTCAGTTACCACATGGCAAACAACAGGGCTTCCATGGGTTTCCTTGTTATGATAATTTAAGGTAACTTGATTCCGTAACAAGACATGCTCAGGGGATTATCTTCCACCTCTGGGAACGGGACTACCGCCGAACCTTCTTCGAGATGAAAGACCTCTATGCAGAGCTCTACCCGGTCAGTTTGAAGCGTGTGGAGCGTTTGCTTTGCTCCGGCCCTCAAGGCCTTAGAGCAGCCCTTCGAGTAACCCTTACTGTAACCCCTTATAGTATAGACCTTATCATCGTAACCCTTATAGTACAAACCTTATAGTAACCCTTACAGTATCAACCTTGTATATTAACTCTTATAGCAAAGTGCACACCTCAGAGTAGCCTTACGTCATCCGGCCCTCAAGGCCCTGGTCCGGAGCCGGCCTCCTGCGCTTGGCCCTTGCCTGGTGGCAGAGTCGCTGAAGACTTGGATCCTTTCGGACTCGGGGAAGAGCGGTCTGTTGAGGACTTCGGAAGCTTGTAGTAGACCTCACAGTATACATTTAGTAACCCTTACATAGTATCCCTTGTATTAAAGTAGCCTTCATAGCCATCTGTTGAGGACTTTGAGAAGCTGGCGGACATCAGCTTCAAGGACCGCAGCATCGGCCTGCGCGGCTACCTGGGTGGCCTCCAAGTGCAAGACTACGTCCTCGCATTGAGACTTTTCTGCAAAGCTCCATCTTTCGGTCCGTATCAGTCGTCACAGTCATGGCACGCAGTACTTGGCAACTTTGTAGGCAGTAGAGTTCTCGGAGACTGAGGATCGAGCCCCAGGACCTGGCTCTCATGCTGCTTCTTCCCATGGTTGGGCTGTGGCTCTTCACCGGAAGATGACTCTCAGGGTCTCCCTGCACTTTGTAGCACCGCCTCTTCGGCACCCCATGCCCTCCATCGACCTGGATCCTCTGGAGCATGCGACATCATGCGAGCGCGAAGCCACCACGGTGTCTGTGTGAAGCGGTGAGGGCTTCCGGGTTTCGCCCGGATCTACGTCCTTGAAACTTCTTGCGAAAATGCTCCCATAACCTGCACGCGGTGAGACATCCTCTCCTGAAAAGACGACAGGGACCGTTGCCGTTGCGAGCTTGCAGTTCGCGCTTGGGAAGCTTTGGCAGCTGGGCCAGCGAGAGAAGAAAAGGATAACTTGCCCGGTCTTCAGGTCTTGCTCGCAGCCGATGGCAACAATCTACTGGTGGCTTCAGACGGAATCGTAGCAAGTCGGGTTCAATCTGCATGTAGCCAGACATGCACGTCACGTGCCCCATGCAACCATTGATCCATGCGCATGTATCTACAAGCTCAGAACGACACTGTTGCATTGCTTCTTGGACTGGCTGTGATGACGTCCGCGCGCGGGGGCCGAACGCTATGGATTGCATTGGTGTGTGCCGTGGTGTGGGCCGTAAGCCAAGGCGGTGAGAGCTGGGCAGGGCCGAGCGCGAGCCCAAAGAGCCCAAAGCGGAGCTCCGTCGCGCTTAGGGCCGCGGGCTTCGCGGACACCACGCGCCCGAGCCGCAAGCGGAAGAAGCCGGACCTCGCCCAGCTGGAGGAGGACCATGGGGACAAAGCGGCCCTTGTCTTGAAGATCTTGAAAGGTGCGCCGGCTCCGACTCCGGAGGACATGGTCCGGGCCCGCTACTCCGCCACCCGCCTCAAGGATGCTGTCTTCATGGCGAAGACGGAGAAAGATCCCCTAAAGACGAAGGTCTCTAACAGAGTGAAAGCCTGGGCGCTCTGCTTCGGCACCGAGAAGCCGGATACATTTGACCAAGAACCGGGAGATGCCTCCAGGCTCCAGGAAGTGGAGCGTCTTGAGATCATCGAATCATCCGACAACGAAGTCGAGTTCAAACTTCACTGCAAGAGTGGTGTCCTGCTTGAACGATCAGTCATGGAGGAGGATGAAAAGTACGGCTGGATCTACTCTGGCGAGTCGAAAAAGGGCGATTGGCTATGAGCTCCTAAAGTTTTCTCTGTGCGGCACCAAAGATGCTCGCCGGATTTTCGCACGCTTTCGTGCCGCTGCTGGAAAAGGAACACGTTGCAGGCAGTAAATCGCAAAGCATCTTGCAGTTTTCTCAGTGTTTGATCTTCGACATGACAGAGTCGCGCCACACAGAACCGATAAGTAAGATGCGTCCACGATGGTCACAACAGTGCTCCTGAACCCACCTGCAGGCATACTTCCTGCGATTCCTTTGCGGAAGTGTGGCTGCTGGTGACGAGCACTGGCAGGCATAAGTACCTGGCTCAACGTCACTTCACGTCACTTCAGTTCGCCACTCCTGTCCTGCCGTGCTTTTGAGATACAATGTCGGGCCGAGCACAAACGCCCAGGTGGCCGGGGAATGTTTTCACAGAACTTGCGTGCGGGACTCGGCCGGATGCCCTTGGGGTCCTTGGGCCACTTGTCAGAGCATTCCGGTCAGACTGCAAGGTGGCAAGTTATGCAGCGCCAGCAGATGCTTCGCGAGGGCTCCCAAGACTTTGCAGACTTGGGAGGAAGCTCTTGTCGACGCCAGCTGACGTGAGAACGAGATCAGAGAGTGAAGTCATCCCGGCCAGTAGGTGCAAGCAGTGTTTGCAAGCAAAGCCAAGACAGGACCCGACTGGCCTCAGTGGCCGCTCTACACAGGACATGTGTTGCCCTTTCTGCCGGGAGTGTCATGTGCGGGGGCCGGATTCATGATGGACGCGTATGAGAGTAATGGAGATGTGGTCGTTGAAGCATAGCCGCATGCTGCATTAAACTCTGGTGCTCTGACAGGACTCGCTCATGCACTTCGCCTACCTTTCGTAGGCCCGGCTGCAGGTCTCGTGTCGCATGTCTCTCGCACTTTCGGTCGGAAAAGTACGAAGTCCTGTCTAGCTCCTGTGAAGGCTTCATAGCAGGCGCTCTGCTCATGGCATGAGCTCTTCGTACGCAAGCAGATCTGCGACGCTTGAGCCTTGATTTTTCGTGTCACCTGCCGGCCACCAGCGCCATGCAGAGAGATGTGCAGGATGTGGGATACGAAGATCCCTTATTGCTGACGTGCTGCATAAGTGCTGCGGCGTGTCGGTCAGACCCGTTCATGTGCCGATACACAAAGCAGGTTGGGGCTTTGGGCTAAGTGCACTGTACTGAAGAGGAATGGTCGCTTACACTGTGGGATTGTGAATGACCGACCCCCCGCACCGTTCGTTGTTGGGCTGTATGACTATCGTATGTCTGTTATCCAGAGAGGGGGTCTATATCGAAAACAACCATTACAAGTGGGTTGCACCCAGAAGCAGGAGGTTTTGGACTCGCAAGGTGAGTCTCCGCATGGTAATGCCAGGACTTGACCCAGACCTCTGACGCCTCCCTGGTAAAGCACATCAAGCTTCAGCAACACACCCGGAGCTGGCATGTAGGAACCTGATTCAGACACCCTGGTCCTATAACACCAAAATATCAGGATCCGTACAAAGAGCCCCAACAAGGACCCAAGGTTTCTTAATCAGGCTCCTATACTACTACAAGCAGTGCTCGTATACTACAACAAGCAGTGGTACATCTTCATTCTGCAGCAGCGCCCATTCCCACTCTGCCGCGACATGGCCTCGGATTCGCAAAGATGCGGGCCGCGAGTGAAGCCCGTGCGTGAGCGCCTGGGAGTGCAACTGCTTCAGCTCGAAGGTCTGCACGCGTTAGCGGCTGATTGCACTTGACATAAGGGATGTTCACGGGTTGTAAGCAGAGGCAGCCAAAGGGATCCAAAGGGGCTTTTGGTAAATTCTCCACGATAAGGTCGTGCGTGCCGGTCGAAGATGTGGATGTGATCGGCGAGACGCTGCTTCGAGCTCGGCCCGTCGTTCTGAGGGGCTACGCGAGCGGATGGAAAGCTCGAAAGTGGGACTTGGAGCAGGTGGGGGTTTCTTGAAGGTAGTGGCTTTAGTAGGGTTCTCTCTTTGGGGGGGGGGGGGCTGCTTCAAAATACGTATTTATGGATCTCTGTTTTGCTCTTGGTCCCTTGTTCTGGAGCTCCCAGGTAGCAGCTGGATCTCCTGAAGCGCATGTGGAGCTGCAGGTGAGCCGGGTGGGCCAGACCCAATTCCATGGCTTCGGGGGAACTCTGCAAAGGGAGCCCTTACCAAGGCTGCCGGAGGCAGCTGCTGAGGCGATCCAGGAGAATCGATCGTTGTATTTGGTGCAGTGTCCGCTCTGGGCTCGAAGTGGGGAATGCCCGGCGCGTCACCTGATGAAGGACGTGGTCCTGGGGCCCTTCGAAGGTGGCGTGCTTTCCCGGAGGTTGGAGTCTGTGAACCTTTGGATGTCTCTGGGTGAGACCCACTCAAACCTACACTACGACTCCAAGCACGGCCTTCTGGTGCTGCTGCGTGGGAGGAAGCTGGTGGAGTTGTTTCCGCCTGCTGCGGCCAGGACGGTTGGTGCCTACCCGGTCCACGACCCTCTCCGATCTCACCATTCAAGGGCTCCGCACTGTTGCTTGGCAGCGCGCTTCGAAAAATCCTTTTGCAAAGCCCATGCAGATTCCACTTTGAGAGCTGCACGAGGTTTTCAAGCAGACCTTCAAGAGGGAGATGCCCTAATGATTCCGGAAGGATGGTGGCACCACGTGAAGACGCTGGGTCGGGCGAACAGCGAACAGGCGAATCAAACACAGCCTCAGCTCGCCCTGGCTGTGAACGTTTGGTGGCGGGGTTATCCAAGAGAGCCCAAGGCTGCACGACCTTATGTTTTGCGTCGCCTTCTTGGCGAGATGTTAGCTCGCAGAACGGCCTCGCATTTCCTTCGGCAGAAGCTCCGCAAGCCCCGCAAGGCCCCGAAGGTCAGCAAAAGCGGTACGAGCTGCCTCAAGAGCAGCAGACCTCAGAGCACCGGCAATGTGAGCATTTTGGAAGAGCTTTCTACAGCTGCCCAATCCGAGCCGCCCCACCGAGAGTGGCTGCTGGCACTGCGCACCTTTGGACCTGTGCTCCCACATTGCTTAGCAGTGGCGGCTGCATCCGAAGATGTTCAGCAGCAGGACACCGCACCAGACGCTCCGAGCCTCATGAAGCCAAATCCCAATCAGAGTCACTCTTTCTTAGGGCACAGGCTTCCGCTGACTAGTTAAGGCTTGGAGCTACGAGTAGTTCTTGAGGAGGCGGTGCACCAGCTCTTTGATGGCCTCTCGCCCGCCCAGGCAGCAGCGCAAGCGGGCCGCACTGGATGACCTGATGACCTAATGCATTTTAGGCACAAACATCTGTGAGCCTAATAAGTGTGACAATCATGAGCCTTTTCCCAATTTGCTCCGGTACTTCTCCAAGCAAAGACACAAAGCACACGATGAATGCTGAGCCGTCTCAGAGTCCTGCATGGTACTGGAGCGATGTGAGAAACTCCACAGAAGTCCGACAGGCCCAGGACACTCTGTGTAACAATGAACATAGTGTGTGTGTATATATATATACACACACGTATAAAAAGCAAACAAGCAAACACACACACACACACACTTCCTATCTGTCTATCTATCTATCTATCTATCTACCTACCTATCTATATATAGATATGTATGTATACATATACACATACTACTAGTATCCCGTCTATGACATATTATGTGCCAAAAAAAGCCGAGGCTCTTGGCCAGCCTCGATGCCGCAGCATTGGACATGGGTCGCTGGCCTGTCCGGTGGATCAGGGTCTTAGGGTTTAGCGTTTAGCGCTTGTGGATCAGGGTCTCAGTCCCTAAAAGTTCTTCGGCTCTTCTTTAGGAGGGTGACCCCTGAATCCCCAGAGCCCTAAAACCCCCTAAAGCCCCAAGCCCTAAAGCCTAAATCCTGAACCCTGCAGCCCTAACCCCCAAACCCTAAGCTGGGCATGTCATCATCTCAAGCCCGGAGTCCTTCTGCTTGGGAACAGGCTGTACTGTACCTGCCACAAGTCCTGCTGCCACGCTCCTGAAGGACGCTGACACTCAGGAAAGGGGATTCAAAGTCTAAACGCCACCCATGAAGTGGAATCGTGGCGGGCCTAGTGGTGGTAGCGGCAGTAGTACTAGTGGTCGTCGTCGTGGTCGTCGTGTCGTCGTCGTCGTAGTGGCAGTGGCAGTAGTAGCGGTAGTAGTAGTCGTCGTCGTCGTCGTCGTTGTAGTGGCAGTAGCAGCACGACAATAGTAGTAGTAGTAGTAGTAG